CACTAGTATATAAATATTCAAATTTGCTGCCAATCGTACAAAGATCAGCTCTTCAATATAAGGCCTTCTTTCACTTATGAAAATCTCCCACCACTGTTATGTTTTGGAACCGGAAGTTAACGAATTTCGAGAATTGTTATTATCTTACCGACCTTATCAAAACTAAAAATATAATTATGTGTTAAAAGACTTCCCACTTGTGTTTACACTAGCACATCTACAAAATGGTTGAGTAATCATTATAGCAATATTTTTACACCATAGCAGTGGCGTCACGATCGGGCGCTAACGGGGAGCGGGGCACCAGGGCCCCCAGGCACGAGGGGTCCCAACATTGTAGTTTGAAAAAAATATACAATATAAACTATAAGAACATAGTTTCATTTAATGGGGCCCCTACAATTTTAAACAATACAAGCTGGCTTCTGATGTTTGATATTTGCTTCTTATTTTGTGATCAATCTACTTTGCATTGCATATACGTTATAAAAACATGTTTTGTTTCTCACTAAAATATTCTTTGTATTTATTTACACCTACATAGAGTGCATAGGCCTACAGTAGGCCTATACCAGTTCCGAAAGTTGGCCTATGTAATCTATGTTGGTTTTGTCATAAAATTGTCTGAAATATTTCATCAGTCATGGACCATACTATGTTCTTTGTGACGACACTGCACGATGGCTTTAAGGAACGCCATGTTCAACAATATTTGTTATTACTGCTTTGGTCCTGACTGTCAAACCTGGGTATGCTTGGCGTCGAGTAATGGTATTAACTGTTGTATTGGGTATGTGTTCCAATTTAATTCAAGTGAGTAGTCGGATTCCCAGCATAAATTTCCCCCTTTCAACCAGTATAATACAACATAGAGTTTAAGTATGTTCACCATAATGCATTGTCACAATACTCACATCTTTCGTTAATACAATTATGCCCTGGAATGGAATATTATCGTACTTTCTAATGACTTTGCACTGGTAATTTCTAGCATCTTCCTCAGTCGGCTCGCTTATTCTTAGGTAACACGTATTATCCTCGCATGCACAACTGTACCTCCCCCTAGACGCAATATCAGTAGATGAAGCCAGGGCGCTGCCATGGCCTTGCTGTACCTCACCAGTTTCGTCAGCAAGAAACCAAATGAAGGAGTCAACTGGTTCATTGAAGGGTAAACACGTACATGAAATCGTCAGCGAATCATTGTTTGAAAACGCTTCTCCTACGGCAACGATAAGTTTACCTGTTCAAAATAGACGATTACACGAACGAAGTTTAATTACATACTGTCAAAAGTTATGGATGAATAGTATTTTTCACAATATTTAAAATAATAATAATAATAATAATAATAATAATAATAAGAATAATAATATAATAATAATAATAATAATAATAATAATAATAATAATAATAATAATAATAATAATAATAATAATATGTTAGACTTATAATGCGCTTAATGCCATAAGAAGCAGAACCGTTTGCTCGCCTCTTACTTCTAGTCAAATGTGAATTCTATTGATCTAATAAAAGGGACTACCAAGCACGGCCGACCAATAGAACGGAACCTCTAGTGTCACAAACCTCTCTCCGCCATTTTTTGCTAAAGTTCCACAAAAGGACAGCGTAAACGTTCGTTAAACACAAGTATGTTTGTGGGATATGTGTGTGTTCCTTCCCTGTCCTAATTGGTGAATTGTTAAGTTTGATTGACATTCCCGAAAAGTTTAATTAACAGGGTGCTTGGTAGGTCATTTGTTTTGCATGGATTTGCCTGTCTTCTTGGTTTTAGGGATGCTGACGTTCATTCATTAACTATATCATTTGTCATTGTTCACGTTGCACTTACTGTGTACCGTCATTATACCACTGTGTGTTGCTGTTTTCTTGCCATTCCGTCTGCTCACAATACACGTGTACTCGCCAGAATCAAAAGCTGTAACCCCATTGATTTCGAGATATAAAGTACCTCTACCATTAGATGCCACTTTCATGCGATCTAAGGAATAAAGGAAAATGACCATGAAACCAAAATTTATTTGGAATGGTATAAAATAAATCAATTTAAGAGAATGCATAACATCGGTTTGTTTGTTAGTTTTTATTAATAATCAACCATGCACCGTCCTATTTGAAGGACGGTGCATAGCAAAGGTGTAAAGAGGAAGAAAGCGTATTGCTTTCTTAGATGACTTGAAATATGGTAACAGCAAAGAGAAGAGCACAACTGAACTCTCTGGAGAAACTGGATGGCTGAGGACCTGCCAGTTGAGGCAGAGCACCATAAGTAAGTAAGTAAATCAACCAAAAAGTTAATTAACGTTATGATCTATTAGACATAACATAATAAACATCAGTCCTTACCTATACCTTTTGCTTGAAGTTCAATTTTGCTAGAAGATAATGATGTTGAAAAATGTTAGTAATTAGAGAAAAAGTCTGCTGGTGTTGATGATTGCCCAATCTGAACTTGTACAACTCTATATTTAGCCTTTACATAAAATTGTACAAGCACTAAACTGCAAAAAGGAGTTACTAAGCATATTAGATACCGTATTAACGGTATTCACTATGTGAATTTGTTTTTTTGTAGCTAAATGCTGAATGTACATCATTCTACTCTGTACTCAATATTCATCAACGTATAAACTTCTGTCACACAAATACGGTACTGTACGAACACTAGAGTAGAGTTGGTGTGAATTGATACAGTAATTGAACCCAGTTAAGAGAATACAACTTACTCGTCTGAAGGGATCTCTTTCAAATATTTTCGTTCTGTGAGATAAGAAAATTCTTTATAGAAAGTTTATAAAAAGCAATACAGAGTGACTAAGTATACAATATAGCATACGGTGTTCCTTTTGAAACAATTCTATTTATGTTATTTTAAAAAAGCTATTCTGTTGGTACAGAAATAATTATGTGCAACAAAATTATTTCTTTCGACACCCCGTAGGTCTATATCAAAAACGAAAGAAAGAAAACGTGTGAATGCTTTTTATCTCGGTAGGAATAACTCGGGAGATCGCTCGGTTACAATTTGTTACTTTTTGTTAAATTTAACTTCACGTGTGAATCGGGTATAAGTATACAATATAGCATACGGTGTTCCTTTTGAAACAATTCTATTTATGTTATTTTAAAAAAGCTATTCTGTTGGTACAGAAATAATTATGTGCAACAAAATTATTTCTTTCGACACCCCGTAGGTCTATATCAAAAACGAAAGAAAGAAAACCTATATCAAAAACGAAAGCAAGGAAAGGGAACGGAAAAAATAGGGCCTAAGTGTATTGGTTTTTATCCGCAACATTTTGCATCTTTGAAGAAGATCATTTTTTCAACCATCAACGCTGGGCCTAATATGTTACTATTGTAAAATTTTACAATGGAATAATCAATAAAGAACATATTTGTCAGGTTGCTTCATTCCTTCTATTGATATATTAACGCCCGAGACTTAAGACGAGCTTACAGTATTCTCTTGGTTGTCAAATTATGTGCAACAGAATTATTTTGTTCGACACTCCGTAGGCCTATATCAAAAACGAAAGCAAGGAAACATATATCAAAAACGAAAGCAAAAAAAGGGAACGAAAAAAAGATAAGTGTATTGTTATGTATCCGGAACATTTTGCATCTTTGAAGATCATTTTTTCATCCATCAACGCTGGGCCTAACATGTCACTATCGTAACATTTTACAATGGAATAGTCAATAAATAAAATTGTCAGTGCACTTTATTCTTTCTATTGATATATTAACACGCGAGTCGTAAGACGAGCTTATAGTATTCTCTTGGTGATCAAATATTTTAAAACGTGCTAATATGTCGTGACCCACAATATGTCCGCCAGTCGGTAGATGGGTGCACTTGGTTAGGAACTATTTATCCTAAACTACCCCATGGTTTATAAAAGTTTGAAATTTTGATTTTTTTAATAATAGATTTACATTACGCTACATTCCTATAATCCTACACTAACCCATGGCAAAAAGAGTGATTAAAACGATTATTGAGAAACTAGAAGACATCTTAAAGTTACAAACATATAAGGCAAATTAAAAAAATTTAAGATTTTCATTCCAGAGCGTTGAATGTGGTATACTAGTAGTTAGACCTATTTACCCTGCAAGTACCGAATGAATCATTGTCGATAAAATTTAAAGCCTACAAATGAAATAATCAAGCATCAAATTTGCCAATGGTAGAATCCACATCATACTATCACGTAATAGGATCTAATTTACCGTATCATGCAATACTAAATACTGTCTTGGATTTTGACTGACCTGAAAATGTGTTGAAGCAACTCGGAAATCTCATTAAAGGAAGAGATCCACTTGGAGTCACCCACTGGACAGAATCGGCACGCGCTAGCCGGGGTTTGTAGTTACATTCAACAATTAATGATGCTTTCGCATCAGTTATCTGCTGCTCTAGTACAGCCAGGCGTATAGGCCTGAAGCAACAAATGTATACTATAAAAACAAATTTGACAACAATTATATGCATGTTCATTGACATGTGATTGTTATTATTATTATTATTATTATTATTATTATTATTATTATTATTATTATTATTATTATTATTATAGAGTACCACAGTCGTGTCGTCACAACACCAGGTGGCGCCCTCTTGGCGTTGGTTACCGTTCATTACGCCCGAATGACTTCATAATCTTAATGGTTTAGAATAGACATTTTAAAACATAATAATTTATCATCAAAATGTACTAAAACACAAAAAAGCTCGCATTATAGTTATCAAACACACATTTAATCATCATTTACAAAGAAAAATTAGATACAACTTCTTAATAATTACGTTAAAAATTGGGATCAATGGTTTGTCAGTGGAGAAAATGGCGTCGGTTCAACTCATTTTGTGTCGCCGATAGCAACGGAGTAGTATCACGTGGTATCGTGACGTAACACTGTAGTACTCTATTGTTTTTGTTGTTAGCGTTATTAATATTGTTGTTATTAAGGTTATGACGATGAGGTGATAAAAACCATTATAATAATAGCAACAATAACAATAACAACAGTATTAATAATAATAACAACAACAACAACAACGACAACAACAACAATAATAATAATAATAATAATAATAATAATAATAATAATAATAATAATAATAATAACACTAATGAGGATGATGAAAACGATGACACTAATGATGAAAATGTTGTGAATGATGCTGGAAAACGGTTTCCCAATCTAAAATACAATACCGTAGCACCGTACCGTACCGTATATTATGAATATATACAAAACATCAAAGGTTAATTCAAGTTTTTATTACCTAAGATAATTGCTGTGATCAACACAACCTTAGCGATCGAAACTGCAATTATAAGGTAAATATTCAATGACTTGTCTCCCTCATCTTGTTTCTCTGAAATATAATAATCATATCATCCTTTTTATTATATTCATTCATCTACATCTACATACACAAACACACTCACCCACCATCCCCTCCCACACACACACCCAACACACGCACACCTCCCCATCTTCGTAAAGTCTGAATGCTGAGCCAAAACACCGCAAACGTTGTCAGTTTTTTCTAGCAATTTTTTCTCGCATGCCACTAAACACTGTGTGTAAATAGGCCTTCACAATCTTATGTAAGTGAATATGAAAATAGGAAATTTACAAAAAGTTAGTAAACTGTTTTTTTAACTTGTAAAACGATTTAATTATAATAGAAACAATCTAAATGTAGGACTATCCACTTTATCCATCCACAGCAATTAATAAGCTACACTTTAGTTTAGACTTTAGTTGTGACTTTGCAATACAGGCCTAATAAAGGTTTTATTGTCATTAGAAAAAAATATGAAATGTCCACTTGCCCACTACTACAGTTATGGTCTGTGTGACGTTGCTCTCTAGTCCACCTTGCTGTTTATAAGCTTCACTTAGGACACGGCAGCTGTATTCACCATTAGTTTCTGTATTTACCGACGGTATTTTCAGAGTTATTACGTCATTATTTCCTCGACTATGTTTATTGATACTTTTATTACCGATTTGATGTCCATCTTTCAACCAGATGACCTCATTTGGAGGTGGGTTGCCGTCTGGTAGGACGCAAGTTAGCTCAACCGTTTCTCCGATGTTTATTTCATTTGATGACACTTTGATCTGAGGTTCGCCCAAAACTAATTTGATTAAAACAAACGATTAAAATGCAATCAATCTATTGTACTACTGCCACTTGATAAATTAATATACAAAATATTGACTGCTCATGAGGGGAATTGTGAAATCCATGGCCATGGGTGATGTTAAGACCGTATAGATAGGCTACGGTCTCCACATCACCGAAGGGCTATAGATTTCACAGTTCCCCGAATCTAGAGCAGTCAATATCGTAGCGTCGTAGAGGCGCGTCTCCTCTACATAGCAGCAACGCAGCCTAGGGATTTGCGCATAGCGCAACAGGGCAAAAAAGTACTATCCCATAGGGGAATAGCACTTTCTATTGCACGCTTCTTAACCAATCAACAAATGGGAATAAATTTAAATTAAGTGAGGGAATGAAACAAAACATCGAGAAAAACAAACCAGATTTTAAAAATCAGCTAATATTAATATTAATATTAATATTAATATATTAATATTGGTGCACTTTTACCCTCACTTGAAAACCTCATCAGGTCCTCATTTAGGCTACAACACAGTTCTTAGTGAAAAGAAAGACCGAAGAGTAAGGTACAAGCGGCATAAATGAGGGTCCTTACACTTATTATTGGAGTATTTGTATAGATATCATCAGGAGTACTAGAATAAAGGCGAGGTTAAACCTACAGTCTATCAATACTATTATCGAATGTAATTAAGATGGTACGGTCATGTGAGAAAAAATGTCCCCAACAAGGGACATGACCCATTACTGGAAGCCACAACAGAAAAGACCAGTAGGAAGGCAAGATTGAAAGAGTGATTGTCTCAAGATCGAGGATAGACCTGATAGAAGCAGATGACCTTGTCGTGCTTAGAGAAATTATGTTACAAGACTTATATTCTGTTTTGCATTCAGGTGAGAAATAATTGTAGATATAAACCTTAAGGTAGGTTCAGGTCGACACGGAACTGAAAAGAACTCAACTCAACTCAACTCAACTCAACCCGTCGACATGAGCGCTCCGCGCAACTGAAAGGAACTGAACTGTTGTCGACTTTGAGCAACTGAATAGCAGGCTCAGGTCGACACGGAACTCAACTCAACTCAACTCAACTCGTCGACATGAGCGCTCCACGCAACTGAAAGGAACTGAACGGAACTAAACTCAAATATTGTATTCATGTCAATTAAAAAAAAATTGACAAACCGAACGTAAATATTAACAGGAATAATTTGGAATATTCAATAGACAAGGCAAGACATGAGAATGGGCAACAAATATCGCATTGCCAGTCTGAAACAATTGACGCAAAGTGAAAATAAAACACAATAAAACAAGGAAAAACCTGGACAGAACGAGCACACGGCAACGAGAAAACAGAGAAACAAGAGAAAGAAGTTCAATCCAGAAGAATTGGTAAAGGAAAACGCAGAGGGCACGAAATAATTAAATGTATTTATTAAAGTATTTTTTTCAACCTGGAGAGAAAAAGTTCAAAAGTTCATTTTAACTCACATTAACTACGTGAGGAAAAAGAGTTTCATAAATTTACAGTCTTTTTTTGAAAGATGTTACAACAGTCTATTAATAAATATTGTGATAGTCTTTGTGGGGAAGCAATTAAATAAACATTGCTGGAAAGAGTTGATATCAGACAGTTTGAGAAGATTTAAATTAGAATAATTAGAATTTGTAATATATTGCATATTTATTATTTTGATACGTAGAATAATAGACGGAAAAAAAATACATCTTACATATGAAATCGACATGAATTGAATTTGAACTGTTTTTACTACTGGTTCCTTGGAAAACTTCACTCTCTGCTCTACATGTGTACTCTCCTTTCTCAGCTTCAGTAAAGCTAAGGAATTTCAACGTTCTACCATCTTCGGTGACGTCACTGCTGGTTGAATTTATGATTGGCTGACCGTCTCTGAACCAGGTGACTGAATCTACAAGTGGTTTAGCATCTGAGATATTGCATGTGATGTTGGCAGACTGTCCCCATTTCAGTCCGCCTTTTATTACACTTTGTACAACAGGTGGGTCGATATCTGAAAAAACAAATCTTTAAAATTTTGTTTTGAGATTTTTTAGGGCTTAATATAAATCATCTAGAGAAAGTTGTGATCCAGAAGGCGCTATATGAATAAAATATTATTATTTCTGAATAATTTTATCTGGATCCATAAATGGAAAATACTTACAATTAACTATCAGTTGTACATTCGCAGTAAAATTTTCAAGGCCTTTAGCATCTTGTATTATAAAATGACAACGGTATGTTCCATTGTCACTGCGATCTACTGTGTTGATGATGGTCAAATTATATTGCCCGATATTTTGAGTAATAACATACTTATCGGTACTATCTTGTATATTAATTATAGTTGAGGTATTGGTAATCTTGGTCCATTTTGAACCATTTATTCCGTTTATGATAGGATTTATTTCACACATCAACACCACACTAGGGTCACCTTCCTTGGCCTCCGTGACGGATGATGCAACTATGGAGAAAATCATTCAATTGATTACCTGCCAATTTAAAAGATTATGCAAAGACTAGTAACAAGACCGGATATATATTTTATTTTATTTATTTATTTATTCATTTGGCTTAATTTCCCGGGAGACGCGAAAGAAAGTGTCGGATTCGGGGTGAAGGGGAAGCCGGGACGTCCCTCTAAATTTCCAAAATTATAAAAAAAAATTGAGAATAAAAAAATTATATTCATATCCCTCCACTCTATTCGAATTTCTGGACTCGCAACGGATGCATGAAACTCACTGTAAACGGAAGGACGTGCGACTCCCTGAGTTATGCATCTGAGTTCATGAGAAAAAAAAATCTTTCAAATTTACAATCACAAGGCAAAACATATAAGGTAGGCAAATGTTGGCTAAAAACACTATTTCTTAAAATATACATTAAAGTGACATCTGTTTTTTAAAAGCCTGAACACGGATGTAAAATTATCGTAATACCAGCAATCCATTATTTGAGGAGAAAAAAAATGCTCAATAGGAAATAGAATGGCTTTGAAATATTACCTTCGAACACTTGAACATCAACTTGGTTACTAAGCATCCCGTCACTTCCTACATAACTGTTGCTTTCAGCTCGGCATTGGTACGATCCGGAATCGTTGACACTCAGTAAGCTGATTTCGCCATTAGATGCTGAACTAACCAACGGTGATCCGTCTTTGAACCAACTGATATTATTAGGTGGTGGATTCCCACTAGGCTTAGAGCACGTTAAGTTAGCTGTTTCCTCGATCAAAAGATAATGTCTAGATGCGGTTAGATTCGGCTTTTCTAAATCTGTGAAGTATTGAATATTGTGATTGTAGGCAAAAATCATTATAATAATTAGTATAAATGCAGGAAGGGATGCTTAGTTTCAAAGATAAATCTGTAATTTGGGAATCAGAACTGCCGCAATTCAACTTTCTGATATACCTTTTTAGCGCTCGTGAAGATGAAGTAGGGGGGGGGGGGGCTTGATGATCAGTTGAGGGGCGCTAATTCGCAAAATATGGTGATTTAGGGAATTCTAACTACTTGGCCGTGATTATTTGGGGGCGACTGGAGGGCGCGAGTATTTTTTTTTTTTTGGGTGGCGGATGGGGGTGGCGTGCGCGCCCTTCCCTAGATACGCCATTGCTATGAATACGGTATACAACCATTCGGTGGCAATGCCGTATTACGCTTATGAGTATGGGAAATTCGATTAATTTCTAATCAGTGGAACTAAACTTACAATTACACCTAAAGGCAAAAGACGTTACGAAAATATAATACAACTGAGTAAATGCAAAGCTGTCAAATTAAGTAATTAACATGGAACTTAGTAATACCAAAAATAAAACTGAAACTTGTTATGGCGGAAGCGTCAGAGCAATAAATACCTTTAGTAGTATATAGAACAATAATGAACAGATCCAATAATTGATAAATGCTTCTGAGTGGGAACCGAGACACTGCAAATGCCAAATATCTTATGGAGGTCTAAACAATATCTGATATAATATGTTTTTATGTTTATATTTCACTAATAATGATCAAATTTACTTTCGATAATTTTTTTTCTAAATAATCTATTTTGTTTTTGTGTTTGTATTTTTTGTATGTTTAGTTGACTGTGGTGTTTTTTAAGCTTGGTCTAAACACTAAAGGAAATTTTTGAATAAGCATATGCTGTACTGTAGGCCAGAAATATAGTGAAGTATAGTGTCATAAGACGGAGAATGTTAAAGAAGAGAGAAATCAGATGATTTTTTTGCGTACATGCAATGGTTAAGGTAACATCATCAGAATTAAATATCCCATCCGACGAATTCACTTCACACTTATAAGTTCCTTGGTCGTCCAAATCAACATCCGGTAAGCTGAAAACAGTTTCCGAAGAAAAATTATCATGTTGCTGTTGATTTAGCAACTGGAACTCCCCAGTGCTGTTATTCTTGTAAAGGCTTGCGTAATTGGTGCCATTGATGTTAACAGTATTCGTCAAATTGTGTAAGCAGATGAACGTGGCGTTTTCTCCTCTTCGGATATATTTTCCTTCTGGTTGTAAGCTCAGGTATATATCTGAAATTGTGTACGGTAACATTTAACAAATATTTCACAATCCAATTACTTATTTAATATATATTTAATTTAAAAAGAGTTATATATACATAATCATCAAAATTTGCAAATTGCACATAAAAATCCAAAAAAAAAAAAAAAAAAAACAAGAAAAAGAAAAAAAGGAAAGGAAACATCTTACACTGTTTAGGCTTTTTGCAATCTTTTATTACTCTCATTATAGTCCGCATTGTTTATAATTTAGCTCCTCCCACTACAGTGGTTATGTGTGCCCACTTTTTGCTAGTTTTTTCATGTACCTTGATAAAGACTTAAGGATAGGACGAAATATTGGTTTGCTCTTATAAAGTGTTTCTAAAGTCTATACATGGTATTCGTTTCCTATATTCTTCTATATTCTTATAGAATATAGGCCTATATATATATATATATATATATATATATAAAATCGTTTTTAATGGCGATCCGCTCAGATTGCCAGAGACACTCAGCAGAAAGCGTCACGTCGTCAAGCCCTCATATAGGCCTATAGCGTGGATGGATTCGATCATGGAGGAATTTTATTCCTCCATGATTCGACCAACGGCCGATGCAATCTGTGCCCGCGGCTTTACAGTCTTTGTTGACACAATCGTAAAATCGCGTTATCATACGCACGAAGGTGTTACACAGTGTGGTGAAGTAATACGCAATATGAATCCCAATGAGTTAATATTTAGTTCAATTCTCCATTGTGTGTTATCATATCAAAATGACACAGCGGGATCGGAGATCAAGATATTGAACACTTCCATGCATCCGGAACTACTCTGTAGGTAAAGTCAAGTGCTATTCTCTCGTTTCCAGCCATTTTTTTGTGTTAAGCCTGGTTTCCATAAAAATCGCTACACGCTATCGGCGACTCCTTTGGCGACGCTGATTGGTCAGTTGAATCATGGTTGATCAGGGAGCGTTCCCGATTGCGTCGCAATCGGGAACGCAGTGCAATAATTGCATTGAAGCAATAATGTTTTTGATGCAAGAATTGCATTGAAGCGCTGTAGCGACTATGTAGCGATCTGTAGAAACCAAGCTTGAGTACCATCATAGAAAACGTGCAGTAAAACCTCGAATTCAAGCCCAATGGGGCTTAATCTCGACAAGAAGCCCATCTCGAATTGAAGCCCCCTCTTTAGTTTGCCAAATTACCTTCGAAAAGAAGCCCATGGACTTCTTTTCAAGATTGATAGGCTTCTTTTTGAGATAGTACAATACATACACTGTACATGCATTTCAGAAAACAAAATAAATTAAATACAAACTTTATACAGTAGTTTAAGTGATTTAATACCAGTTAAATACACACGATACAGGTTGATGTTACAGTAGCGTTATTTATTGTTTTATAGTACAAATTTAAAATTTACAGCATTCATTTTGAAAAGAAGCCCCCCCCCCCACACCTCTTTACACTTTGCAAAAATAGACTCGAAAAGAAGCACATTTCGAAAAGAGGCCCATCTCGAAAAGAGGCCCATCCAAAGTTCGCAAAAAACAGAAGAAGCCCAGGGCTTCAATTCGAGGTTTTACGGTAATCCGACTTAATTGTTTCAGAATTGAAGAGATTGATCGAGCTAGACTTAGGCCTACACTCTGTAATATATGACAAGGTTGATATGATGAATCTAATATTATAATACTGAGGTACATGTAGGCCTATAAACAATATATTACTGTATATAGGCCTTTCTATAATACTGTAATCGTATCGACCTTTGTACATAGGCCTACACGGAAATATGTTCAGGCGTAATATTTATTGTGTTTTATCTAAGTTACATCATTATTTTGAATTACAGGTCACCCTCTAGTTAAAGACCCCTCCAAATAAAGACCACCTCCAATTAAACACCTCTTTTCTGTAGGCCTATCCCCAAATGAATGTCTGTCTTTTATCTTTATATATATTTTTTTCTAATTAAAGACAAAGCTGTTACAGACCATGAAACCCCCAGTCCCTTAATGTGGTCTTTAGAGGGAGACCTAACTCATTATAACTTTAATCATTATTCTCATTGTTTTTAGAATTATTAAATTAATTAGGCCCTATATTATCAATATGTTTGTAATCACCCCAAAATAATGTGTTGTTGTTTAGTAGTAGTCGTCCGTCGTGAATGGATAAACTTTTTTGTTTGTTTGTTTGTTTTTTAAAGAATTTGCCAAATACAAGGCTAAAAGCCACTTAATGCATAGGCTAGAATTCGGGTTCGATTATTGTGATAATAAAATTATTATAATAAATAATAAGGACATAAATCTTAATTATATGATGATGATGATGATGATGATGATGATAATAATAATAATAATAATAATAATAATGATAATAATAATAATAATAATAATAATAATAATAATAATAATAATAATAATAATAATAATAATAATAATAATATGAATGATAATTCTAAGAGGCCAAATAATAATCTTGATAAAATTTACTACAACGAAAAGCGATAACAATAACAATGAAGATCATAAAATAAATATTAATGGCTAACGAAACTTTTTGGAAGTACAGAGCCATAGCCGGTTATTGTTTCGTCTACGTCATCGAATCTATCATTTTATAATTAGTACACGGATGGGGAAGGGAATTGGTGTTAGATAGGAATTCTGGTGGTGGTATAGACCTATACATATCCCGCACCGGGATTCGAACCCAAGCCTTGTTTGCGAGCTCTTAACGAAAATGTGATAAGGAAATTAATTTTTATAAAAACTTATACTATACTATTAACTATCCTAAGGTGAATGAATAAAAGGCAGTCATCGTGACCTCATTTTATTGAATGAATAAAATATAGTAAAAATTGTCCGAGCAAGTTGAAACTTAAATGCTCAATTCTGTTAGCGTTCAACGAGATATCCATTCGAACGGACGTGAGCACGCCAGTGTCCTTGTGGTTTATCCTAATGACACTTATTCTAACTAAAGGTACCGGGAACAACTTTTAACAAATATCTCACCGTTTGTAACCACTGGGCGTAGACTTAAAAGAAGCATCAACAATGGAATGACTCTTGTCGCTACGGCTGCCATTTATCTGCTGTTAGATGTATTTTGTTGTTGTTTTTTAACCAAGTGGATACCTTAGAAACCTTAGTTCCCTGCTGTTGTCGAAACTCACATCCCTCTAGGCTACGATGAGCATAGCACTGACTTGGCCTTTTTATTATGTCCCTACTGCTGATTTCCGCGAACAACTTCCGCTAAAAGCGTCATATTGCATTGTGTTCACCAACCGAAACATGTTCAGTACGGTATGTGGTAGTGATCAAGAAAGATACGAATTCAACATGAAACAAAAAACATATCTCTAAAAGCGAAACGTTTTTAAAAATGAATTATTGTGGGAAATTGATGTTTCCGTAATTGCTATACTCTTTCCTGAATTTATCATACATATTTATCATACATATATTTATATTTACAGTATATAGGCCCTATACTTTCTTCCTTGGGTGTAGGGTATGGGTGAAGGTGGTAGGTTAATGTGTGCAATGTGTGTGGCTAAAGCTACATTTTGCACTAGACACGATTACGGCACGAGAACGACACGATACAGATGCGTGCAGTGTTGAACAATACGATGTCGTTGTCGTTATCGTGTCTAAATCTAGCTTAAGCCTGGTTTTCTTAAAATCGCTACAGTGTTTTAGTGCATTAGTTACTGCTAGCAGTCCTCGACGCAATCGGGAAGGCGCCCTGATTCGACCGACCAATCAGCATCACCGAAAGCTATCGGCGATAGCGTGTAGTGATTGTGTACGGATTGTGTACTATCATTGAGCCCTTTGCAATAATGGTAAATCAAGCTTAACAAATCATGACCAATCAGAACAATGCGCGCTTGTCCTACAAACACGACGTATCGTGTTTTGCCACACACGCACGTGTGTACGATATATTTTTATGCCTGTCGTTTTGTGAGACATTGCAACAATGTGCAAAAGGAGTGGGGCTTAGAAAAACTGGGACGCGAACCTTTCCGCCTACATATCAAACGGTAATAATTCTAAATGCTTTTTCATTATTTTACGAAATAGATATATCGTCCAGAGACTACCGGCTTCATTTCGTTTACGGTATTTATTTGGCGATAACACAAATTCAGAAAAATTGTCACACTCGATTGCATATAATGTTCAATTATGGCACAGATCCATATTATAGGATCTGTGATTACACTATTATGGTACAGTAATAAGGAGGCTTCTAACAATTCAATTTATTAATTCATCACTTGACGAAATTAACATCTAGAAATGACAACCTCCACAAAAACAAAAGTAGTCCTACGCTATTATTAAAAAAAAGACGTCTCCTATAATATTAGAAGCACTATTAACAAATTTAACGGGGAGAAGAATTCAAATTCATATGCACCAACTATAAAAGGCAAATTTATCAAAATCATGTAAATTATCAAAATTGAGGGCGGTATGTTCAACATGCCCGATAGTGATGGAAGTAATCTCCATGCCATGCTGATGATCTCGTAATTTTGTTAATTAAAACAAGAGGATGTAATTAATGAATCAATTTTCTGACTGTTAATTGTCAAGGAGGCATACTTTTACGGTGGGCATTTCGAGATTGTCGTAATAAGATAATCTAGGCCTGTTGACTAAGAAAACTCGTTTTACTGTCGCTAGACCTAGGCTAGGAGGCCTACCTATATTTATAGTACTACTAGGCCTAGCCTAGCCGACCTAACTAATAAGGCCAGGTAGGGTAGTGTGTGCATGGGCCTAGCTAGAGAGGCCTACATAGGCCCAAGGCCTGCTGCAACATGGCCCTAACTTAGCGACTTTAGTAGTACAGTAGTAGTAGGTAGGCTGATGCTTAGTAGGCCAGGCCCTATCTTGTGTCGGTGCCTAAGATAAGGACCAGGTATAACTCTATAGGCTAGGCTAGCCTTCTTTAGAGAGAGGCAAGGTAGGCTTTTCCCTCTGTTTGAACTTTGATTATATATTATATATGAGTGAGGCAAGAAGCAGCATGCCTCCTCTCCACCAGTCCAGCCAGGACCATGTATGTGTGTGGGGGTAGTTAGGATTGGGCTGTAAAACATACAATAATAAATTTAAAATCACATGATCTTTGATAGTTTTGCATCTATTGGCCTAGAATAGAGCAAGGAAGTAGCTAGAGGCCCTTGAAATATCTACCAATTTATTAATTAAAATATGGTTTCGACCCTGGCCGCTGGCTTAGGCCTAGTAGTAGGTCTAGTTAAAGATAATTAGAGCAACAATAAATAACAGCATTAAATAATTCTTTCAGATGGCAACATGTCTAAGCAGAATCCTAGGCCCTCAGCTGCATACTCACCCCAACATATTGCTTATGAGCAATCTCCCAACAGTAACTACTACACGAGGTTACAAGAAGCCATATCTGAAAGCAATGAGAGATCGAATCCGTTTAAATAAGAGAACTTTGCCTCAAATCATTGAAGATAACCTGGATTTACCCCGAACAGTTCCTCGTCCCTTCGAAATGGGTAAAGAAGACGTCCTGAATATCCATCCAAAATATGCTGTACGGTAAGTAATATTTTGTAAATAACAACTGCTTGGAAGCGGGGTGTTCGGATAAATGTTGGAGAATAACCCATAATTTGCAACATCATTGTGCTGGTGCATATGAGCATGGTCCAGGAAATGTTCAAATCATTTGAGAACGTGCTGAAATGAACCGGAGCAATTGGGGTAAGCCCTACTTCTTAATAAAATAAACTGTATTTGGGGTTTTTATGTATATTCTACCATAGATCATCATTATTTTAAATTTACACTGCTTCTGATTTGTTTGTGATATCTCAGAGTTAACCACAATGAGAGCAATGAGCATTACAAGAAAACACCTGTGTACATATTCAACCAGTTGTGTGTATTGGAAGAAGGCATGAACCAGGCATTATGGTTAACCAACAGCAAGTTAATGGACCAAGGAAAAGTATGTCTGTGTGCATAATAATAATCATAAATACTAGCATTATATTTATTATCACTAATAACTTTTGTCGTTATTATTATTACTGTATATTATAAGTCTCCCTCATTTAAAGAAAACTTCTGTGCAGCTAAGAAAAACAAAGCATTCTTTTTATATACATTGTTTTTTGAAAAGACTAAATAATGTATTTTACTTTCTCACAAGTTGCCTGAGAAGCTTCAAAAACTTGGTGTAGAAGCTGAGAAAGAAGACATGACTGACCAAGTCTATCACGCCATCAAGAAGAGTAGACACTATGACACTACAGAAAAAGTCATCAGGATTCCTCGATACAGGTTCAGTATCTTTTTAACAACATTGGCTGCCAGCGAGGAGTATACTCGTCCCACAGGGTGTTGCTGAGGGCGCCAGGGACGACTATACTCGTCAAAATAGGGTAACATTCTAGCGTTTATTACTTCTTTGTTATGCATTGTAGAAACACAGACTTAATGACTGATAGTATGTATGTTTGTTGTGTTATGTTGCCGAGGGGCAAATATGTGGGCGTCCTTTGAACATATACCAACTCATGCAAAAAGCAGAGAAAACTCGCACTTGGCATAGTCAATAAAAAGTGCTGTCACAGTTACTTACCGCCGACAAGTTTACTCATCCCCTAATTTTTTTCCTGCCAATTTATTAGAGACACCATCTTGATGATACATGACTAGATAAAATTTCAAAAAAGTATGTTTGTGCATGTAAACTTGTTTTTGCACACAGGAAGGAACCTTAAAAAAAGGTCTGGCAGTCAATGTGTTAATCCCTTGTATATTTGCTGTCATTGGGGAATACTTTACCAGTTACTGAACGTAAGGGAGCATTGGTTTAGTTATTTGGATACTTTGCCTTTCACTCCCAAAATCCATCCTGAGTTCAATCTTTAAAAATTAATTTCAGAATTGTTCTCACAACAAAGAAAACTGGCTTTAAATATATTATTATAAAATATTACATTTCAATATATGGATCATTTATCCAAAGTGTTGAGTCTGTGACAGTTTGTCGGTAATTGTCACGGTTATTAGACTTTGGTAAATTGAATGATTGAGAACTGGTTTTCAGTAAGATTGGAGTCTACCAATCTTATAACAGACATCTCGTTCTACAAAAGGTCATGTAACGCCTCCTACGCTCTTTGATGCTATACTGTAATAACAGGAATGTTCTTCATGAAATTATATCTCCCAAATGAGCAAACTATGTGTGCCAAAAACAAAAACTAAAACTAATTGTTAACACGAACTTCATATGAAAATGACACTCTAGGATTGATTTATATACTGTATAACACGGTCAAATTAATTATATATTAATTATAATCATGAAGATATAAGTAATAGTAGTAAATTAATGTTTTAATATCTCTTTATATTACTTGTCCACTCATTAATTATAAATTGCTTTTTTTTGTAGTCGCAATTTAGTTCAGTCATTACTGACTGTCTGTAACACCGTGAGTGATAAGTACCCAAGGATTGTACAGCGTACAGGAACTGACAAACACTACATTGCTGCATCATGGCAAAGAGGTGAGCTGTGTGTAGATTAAATGGGACCAGGGTATCTACATTAATGCTCCACATTAATGTAAACATGCTGAGGCTGAACTTAGTGGATCGCTAACAGAAATTTTACAAAATTTATACAATCAAATTGGTATGTCCATACATCAGCATTTGTTTACTATTTTTATCCACACCAGGTAATGACCCAATCCAGGTTAGAGGTCATGCTGGTACTATGATTTCGTCCGCTCACCCTATTGCACCTATCGCTGGTAAAGAGGAGATTGAAGCAACAAGGACCCATCAACTTCCAACATTTCATCCCATATCACCGACAATCGATCTGCTCCAATACAATGTGTACAAACTAAACCACAATTTTCCAGGTACAGTATTGTTTGTAATATATTACACAAGCCCCATAATTGATAATGAAGTAGCTATTTCATAACTAACTATATGAACTGAGTAATTAGCATAAGAATGTGGGAGTATTATATACACATAACTTTGGCAATAGTAAGCCGATTGCAGTAAATGATACATCAATGTAAAGCGTATAATGTGGGGAATAAGAATATAGGAAAAAGTCAATTTTAATTGTGGCAAGTACAAGCCATACCAGTCACTCGTCACAAAAATCGATATTTAGCTATTAATACAAGGTTATGAGAGCTATAAAATCCGATGTTTCGTTATGAAGTTACAAGCGTTTAAACATACAATATTTGAGAAATCGGCATTCAAAGTTTATTTATTTATTTCGAGAATTTCTCAGGCAGAAACCATCAACAAATTGTTAAAAATTTTTGTATTAACATTGAAAATGGGGAAAATAAAAGCATATAATGTATAGATATATAAAGGTTAGTTTAGTGCAATGAAATAGATTTCAGCATGTTTTGGCCATTATTTTTGAAACACGATTTGCGACGAGTGACTGGTTTGGCTTGTCTTTGCCACAAATGTTAATTAAAACAAGACAGAGGTTGCATTAACAGAGGTGATACTTATGTAACTTATAATGTATTTTCTTTTTTAGGTTATTTTGAAGGTTACCCATACCAACATGCTCATACACTCTATGTGTTTGATGATCACTTGTGGACTAGGAAAAGGATTGAGAAAGGGTTACACGCTAAAGGAATCATGTTCGCATTCGGCAATGCACTGGCTCGTGCCCGTCTCAAGTATGGTGTAAGTTAATCCAATGGTTAAATGCAGTTCTTAGTTGTTTTTGTTACATTTCATTCATTGAAATGGGTATTAGCCACAAAACTACAGCAGCTCCACCCTACTCCAAAGTGTTGAGTCTGTAACTTATCATTTCATATTTGTTACGGTTATTAGCCTTTGGAACAGCAAATTGAAGCAGCGTATAATATGATTGGGGTAAGAAGTCAACTTAACTTCAGAATTGCACTTGCTTTGAATAATCTACATTAAATGATGCTAGATAGAAATGGATAGATTTATTTGTGATAACCCACTAAAGTCTGAAGTACTGTACACTGAGAGACAATCCCCTGTACTGTGTTCTTTAACGTGCACATATGCTATAGTACACACCGGACCAACTGAAGTGGGAATTGAACTGGAGAACAAAGAATCTCCACAGTTGAGCGCACACACAGTGGGCACCACCAGTTTAGCTGACTTAGCTAAGCTGTTGATTTGTAGTACTCTTTTCAAGTATATTTGACAGTTACTTAATTTTAGTACATATTCAATGGTATATATCATGCAAAACTAGATAAAAAAAAGTTTTAAGTGTGTGTCTGAACAAGTCTATATCTTATGTATACCTATCTCTCTAAAAGCAACATTTCTGGAAGTAACAAATTTGTCTTTATGTTTAGATTGATAATGATATTGATTTGGAGACGCCAATTGTAACGCAGAGCGTCGCCACTGATGGTGTGAATTTGAGTTTTGTAGTCGTTCAGTTGAACACACTGAGAATGACATCTAACGATGGTATCAAGAACATGGTCTGGCTGGATGCAGACAACCAGCTCTACAACGATCAGTTCCCTCAGGACATTAAAATAGTCAAGTCCAACAAGCGCAGGAAGACGACAAAATCATACATAAAAAAAATGATAACTAAACGTGATCCAGAGGTCGGATGTCAAGACCTGGATATGGACGTTTTTAGGAAGTTCTTATCATTACATGTACATGGTGCAGAACATTAACATTGTCACCGGTGTAGGAATTTCTTATTGCATACAATCTAAAACCTTTAGGGTAACACTTTTTTAATAACATATATAATAATACAAGATATTGCTATTGAATCACTATCACAAGGATGTGTATTCACATGGATGTGATGTAGCAGGCCGTATGCTAAATTGTTCCTAGCAAGTGTGTAACATTTTGTTTAATGTGAATTCATGTAAAGTTTCTAAAATTTGCTTTATTCTGAATAAAGAATATTCATAAATTAAGCATGTTCCAGTCTTGAAAAAGGTGAAGACTCACATGTAGTCTATATGATTTTCAGCAAATAAAGGTGCTCTGAAAAATATATTGAATTCAGTTTAATTCTTTCTTTTATTGGTGCAAGAGCCATCAAGGGTTATTATTCACCAAAAAATACAAAAGACAATTAAATTATAGCTTTGAGTGGGTACTTCGCAATTCCTTATTCAGGAAACACGTAAAGGGGTATTTGTGTACTCCAGTAAGGTGACCTTAGTGACCTGCATAACCCACCTAATTAATTATGAATAATAATGACATTACTCCCTAAAATCCTAGGGACTAATCTGCAACCATTCCCCCAAATTTAACTGCATCAAGGTCCTTATAACCCGCATACCCCAAACTAATCTGACTATAGGACCATGGTAGAAGCATCCTTGTCGCGGACCTGGACAACGCTAATTCGACCACCATCACACACAAGATCAAGTCAACATCTACTTGTATCACTATTTCCATTATGCCATCTGATGGACCTGGCAAAGCATGATGATTGTGCTAGAAAATGTGTTCAGCTTTGGCTGAAAAAAAAAAACAAACCTAATGTGTGGGACACAAGAAGAAACTATATACAGTATCATCAGTTATGGATGTTTCACTAATGTACTAATGACCGGCATTCCTCACTGGCACAACCACTGTTGTGAAAAAAAATTTCCTCAATCTCCTCTTAATTGTCTTAAGCACAAAAAAAAAAAAAAAAATGACTACAGTATGCCAACAATGGTATCAATAATCAATAATAATACAGTAATCGTTTTCCTTTACATTGTGTTGTTGTCAGCACCATAATTGTTTATGTTTATTCATGGAGGTGAGCAAATAAAACAATTGAATTTGATTTTGGCCTGGGTATGTGCAGAGCTAAATTCTTATTCCAATGAAAATTTAATTGGAATAGGAATTTAGCTCTGCACATACCCAGGCCAAAATCAGTCTGTTTATTGCTGACTAAAGTTTTGTCCACTCTATCAATATGTGCATATGGTTATGAAATATGTCACATAATATAGCTTAATAGCAGGGTAGTGATGCCCTACATGACTTTTATAAATCACAACTGTAGTATGACAAATGAGGTTGGATACACCAACTTGTGCTGAAAGTGATGAACATTTCCAAGAACTAAACTGAAAACACATCTTTTCAATTGTCCTCATTAATGAAACAATGATTTTGAAGTATCTAGTGAGTGTCTCTGAATAAGGAACTAGATTGCTTGGTGATATAATGGATTGGATTGAACTGCAGGTTTTCTTTACTTTCTATAATGGCCACTAATACAAGCTCTGCCTCTGTGGAATTAATTCTGTTTGATAGTGGTGATGGGTGTGCTAATTAGCCAAAAATAAAATTGTATTTTTATTTAAAATCACCATTTTTGGCAATTGGAGGGTTTGCTAAACATGGTATAAAAGAAGTATGTCTCGCCTTATCTAGCTACAAAAACAACAAATTCTGCACCCTGTCTGGTTATTTTTGTTGCTGTGTAATGCGGAAAGTTACAGGTTCGGTATGAAAATTCAAATTTGTAAGATGTTCTTTGTCTATGCTAGGAGGTGCATACGACTGTATGGTTGTTTATGTGCCTGAGGCCAACATTTTAGATACACGACATGAATATCTGGTTTTTATTTTACAAACCTTGTAAATAACAACAATAAAAATGTATCTTGGGTACTTTAAATGGGGTAATTCAATGGTTTTAATGTCCTATCCTGCACTACTCAGAACCAACCTCTTCATACCTTTCCTAATTCCGGTTGATATTTTCCCGTTTTTTTGTTGTCTTATGTATAAATATTTTATGTTGCCATCGCCGTACACATGTCAGGATTCATTCAAGCCACAATTCCTAAAACTACATTTGAAAAAAATTAAATCAATATTAACAATTTTCAAGGGTTCCAATGATAATTTATTGGATCATTATATCAATTACTACACTGTACACAAATTAAAAAAGAAAAGAACTTCCAAAAAATATTGGAGATTATTTTCTTTTCTACTACAACAGGTTAGCGCATTACAGTCATCAAATACCCAGTTGATGTTTACCTATGATAACAAGGAGATAGTTGCAATCAAAGAAAATATACAGTTTTCAAAATACCAAAAGGAATTCCATGTGTTTAATACAAAAAAGTCAATTTAAATCTGGTGCAAAGCTCCACCATTTTACCTTGCTTACTTGCATTATAAGCAGTGGATCAACCTCATATATATGTATGTATATACACTGGTAGCAAAACTTGCGAAATTTATAACACGGTATTGACATAGAGGTAGTGTATACCTTTTGAATAAGTTTCCCGGGAATGTTAGGCTCCACTTCGTGCAAAAGTGCGTGGTGTCGAAGAAGCGAAACCCAAGAGGGCTTTTTAACAGATTGTTCATAATGTCCATTAAAAGCACTATGGAGAAATTTAATAAAAAGTTGAGGGGAGTTAAAACCTGTTTTAAATAACACAATGAACCATTTATTCCAACACAAGCAAAATGCTTGTGCCTAAACAAATTATTGCTCAAGACAAAAACTTGTAGCATTATCCTCAATTTTGTGGGAGTTGTACATACAATGTATCATCTAGCCAGTGAAATGCCTTAGATAATGTAGGCCTCCTTGTTTGGGTAAGCCTCAAGAATTCCATATCAAACATCTTTGAGTTGAGGATATTGAGTGCAGTGCGCTAACAGGAGGAACTCACAAACAATAACTATAAATGTGCGGCCTTCAAAT